ACAGGAGCATGATTAATTTTGGTAGGCTTTGTAGGGAGTTGAATTCCATTCGCGTTCTTGGCTTTTGGATTGGCTGCTGCTGCTACAGCCTCTTCCTCTTCTCCAGAGCTTATAAACATTTGGCAAACCTTTTAAACAAAGATTCAACCTCAATTTACACGATTTGGAGCAAAATCAAACCTTCGAAGTTGGTAAACACTGTCCGAATGCTTCCATTAACAAACTCTCCTTATCAATCGCGCTATTCCAATCAGACTCACTGACACGTCCATCGCGGTCTTCATCCAACTTCTTAAGCACTAAATCCACCAAGTCCTTAACTCCATCTTCATCTTCTTCAGCCCCTTTCACCAAACAATTCTTGAGCATTTGGAACATTTCCTCCTTGGAAATGTAACGGTCTCCGTTGAGGTCATAAACGCGGAAGCAAACTATTTTGAACATAAGTATGAAAATGTGTCGCTGGTAATGGACGTTCCTTACATTTGATTCTCTCCTCTCTACGACCTTTCAAGAAGACAGACATCCCTTTCATAAACTCATCATAACCGATATAGTTGTCGGCATCCATATCGAAGCAACGAAAGACTGTTGAAGGAATAATAGTTTAGCAATCGTTCTGCACCTGTGACAACAACAACAAACCTCGATCCATCAAAAGAGAATCATCAACGCCAAAAGTATCCGCCAACAGGTCTCTGAACTTGGATCGATCGATCTTGTCCATAACTGTCGCGAGTTCCGTAAAGTGACGCGTAAGAGTATCAATTTCGAGCCTATTGACTGGTTGTGTGCAATGGTTGAGTAATCGCCTTCGCTCCACAAGCCAAGCCATCGAAGCACATACAGTTGGTGATTTTTAGCAAATCATCAGGTGACATACGCGTCGGAACGGTCATATTTGGCAAGAGATGTTGCTAACTCCTTTTTCCCAGGTAAATCTTTTGTTTCATCTCTCAAGAGAACTTCTTATCATTAACTCGAAGCTAAAAAGTATAACAGAAGAATATAGATAATGGAACTATATATTGTATTCCCTGCACTCTTCACTTCTTTCCCTTCTTCTTGGCTTCGAGAGCCTCCCCTCTTTATACTTGATAAACGCACCTAAATTCAATAAGGCCTCTTCAGCGCGTTCTCGAACACCTCTCTCCCTCCTCTTATCAACACCCTTTACTTTAGCCTTAAAGCCAGGTAACACTCCTCGCAAAACGTCCAAATACTTTCCGTTCACAAAGACTGAGTCCCATGGATATACGGCGTCTCCATATACATCATAGACGGCGTTCAAAGCCTCGGACACAACGTCGACAGGTGTATTTGGGTTCTGAATGGTAGACATTAGGAATGGCCCGATGGTTGCGTTTGTGGATGTGGATTTTGCAAGGAGACCAAGAGTTGCAGTGCATTTCAGAGCGAGAGATGGAGTTAGAGTTGGGAGGGATGCGGTTTGGATCAAGTTTTGGAGGTGTGATTGTGTTGGGTTCTGGGTTCAGAGAAGATGGTTAGGAATTCCGTTTGAATGATTGCATCAGAAAAATATTATGTACCAGAATAATTTTCTGAGTTCCTTTGTATTCGTCGACTCCACGCGCGAGAGCCCAGATGGCGGAAACTGCAGATTCAATAGTTTCGAGATTCGATGTTGAGTTGGATCCACTGGAAGCCGCCGAGTGAGCTGCTTCAAACAATGTTGCCCATAATTGATGCACAGTTACCGCGTTTTCCGCGCTGTACCACTTTTTGGTACTCGCCAAACACGTGAGAATGTTTTGCAAACATCCAAACGCGCGCACCCGGACAGTACCCAACAAATCCACAGCAGAGTAAACAGGAGAGTTCGATGCAATCGTGTTGATTTCAGATCGAGACCCCGCAGCCGAGACGTTCAAAATCTTTTGGATCAGGTGCAGTTTCTCCACCAACGCAGCACGGTCTTCTCCTCCACTGCCAGCGGTTTCCATAGAGTCATCTCCGTCTCCACCAGCACCACCACTCTCTGCCGCCATCTGGGCAGCAAGCTCCTGATCCTCCATCATCTGATCAAAAGCCCCATCATCATCCTCTTCTTCTCCTGCACCTTCCTCGCCCATCTCCTCATCTCCCCACTCTCCATCCACGATTTCTTCCTCTTCCTCTTCTCCAGGTGCATACTCCTCGCTGTACGCATTCGCCAACACCTCCAAACCAGTCTGCAAGGCTCCCAACACGGAAGTGGCTGCATCAAGAACCCTCTCTCCCGCTGTTGTAAGCTCTCCCGACTGAGACACTCCAGTACGGCTAGCGGTAACGACGTGAGAACAGAGGGGGTCGAGGTCCCATGAGATTGCGTCTGCAACTACAGCCGCGGTTTTCGATACAGGAAGGAGAGAAAGGTTTGCAAGGATGGAGGTTGCGAGGATTCGTAGGTGGAGAATTGATTCGGAAAGGTTTTCTTGGGGTGTGGTTGGCGATGTGAATGTTGGAGGGAGTTGAGAGTTAACGGCGATGGCAGTTAAAGTTTGGATGTGGGTTGTCGAGGTTGGGAGGTGCAAGTGTGCGTGAATTGGTTTGTTTTCTTCGGTGAGTGTGTTGAGGCATTGGGCTATTGTATACTGGATTGTGAGTCTTTCTAGTTTCATTAAGAAAGAAGGAAAGATACCTGATACGATCGCTAATGACACCTTGTTGGTACATCCTTGGAAATCAGATTCAGCAAGAGTGATTCCCTTCATCAATAGATCCACAATACGAGGATCCTTGCTTGCGAGAGTGAGCCCTTCCAAGCTCGCATCGGATAAGGCCCACAAGACAGAAACACACTGCTCAAAGAGCAACAAGGTATTCTTTCGCAATTCAAACTGAGCTGCTGCATCCTTGTTCGAACCACCCGACCCTTTATACTCATGCTTCTCCTTTGCCACAAAATCCGACACAATTGCAAGTTGAGAAAGCACAGCCTGGACACACCCCTTTCGCACCAAGTCTTTTGCAACATCATCGCCTCCAAACAGAGCCAAGTTTGCTGTTGCTCCACACAAATCAACACGCACAGAAATATCCAACTCCGCAGTTATTCTGTCTACGAGTACTTTTGAGATACCGGCTTTGAGGAGTTGAAGGCGTGATGAATCGTCAAGGAGCAGGTTCGAGACTGCCGCAGCTGCCCAGCTCTTTTCGTCAGGCTTTTCTGAGGACAGCTACCATTAGGTGTTAGTACTAATAAGCGGAAAGGGTGCCAAGACAGACCTTCTTTACAATGGGAACAATCTGGTCCTTGAGCAGCGATGAAAGGTTCGAAGTGCTGACAGTCTCTCCTTCCTGGCCAGTCTCCGCAGATTCAGTTCCTTGATTCGGACGAGAAGAGTAGATCGGATTCGCTCGTTTGTAAAGATGCCGAGCAGGTCGGTTGTTGTGTTTGCCCATTTTGAATCCAAACGAAAGAAAGTAAAAAGAAAAAAAGGTGCATGACCTCGAAAAAGGCAACGCTTAATTCAGTGCTCAATCTGTTTCCACGCGTGATTCTGGTCTTTGTTTCTTGCCTGCTCTACCGGATTAATGTCAGGCTCGAGGGGCTTTCTTCTACTTCAATAGAGAAATTGGATCATACACCTGTCAAACAAACTACACGAAATCATCAACCTCTCATAAGCATTCCGAACGACCTAAACAATCCGTTCACTGCTTTATTTCATCATCCATATGCTTTACTTCTTGCGACGCGTAAATGCTCATGGCCGTGTTCTTTCATTTCAAATGACTTTCGACGGAATATGACCTTTACACAAGAAGGATTCAATCATATATGGATTGAAAATATTACCGAATCAGATCTACTTCATTCTACCACTCCCCTCCTTCTCCTTCCTTCAAATGTTTCGGCGCCAACAACCAAACGCACTTTTGTGTACGCCTTCATTCCACCCCCAATACAAGAAACCTACAAACATTCATCTAAAATTGACTTAAACATTGCCTATAACCATGGATTTGAAGACTCCAACACTCTTACACATGAAATTGAGACAGTATTCTCAAAACCGCCATATCCAACATCCATAATCCATCCAACAACTCCCATTCAGCTCTCCATTCCAAAACAAATCAAAGTACGAATCCACCAATACTCTCGCATCCATAAAATCTATCCTACTCCAAAAGACCTTCTCAAGACAATCCACAAACAAATTCCTCCACGTGCGTCAAGTTCATACTCAAAAAGGCGAAACACAGTCGCAATAATTGGAGTCCCTCAGTGCCAACACATCCATCCTGGAGCACTCGCGTACTTGAAAAACATACTAACATCTCCCACTATGGAACTACACGGCCCACATCCAGGATCTTGTCTCTCCTCCGCAAAATCAACACCTATCCAAGGAAATCACTACCAACGGATGGCTACGTCCGTCCGCTTTGTTGCACTATTCATCGACTTGTTACATGATTCCTGGGGTGGAGCTATTGTTCCTGATTTATTGTACCATGCCCTGGCGTGGGACGTTAACGTGATGATTGTTTCGCGATACAACTACTCGCGGGCGGTACCTCCAAACTCAGTTTCTTGGATCGATCCAACGCGTGTCGATGCACCAGGGTTTTTGCGTGAAGTAGAGACGCGAGATGCTAACTGGAAACGAGATGAGGAGTGGAGAAGTGGGATAAGTAGAACCATGGAGGCTGGTGGATCTGTAGATGTTGAGAGTGTGTTGGGGAAAGATTTTTTGAAGCTTTGGTACACGAATGTTGTCTGTGACCTTTGTGAAAGCGCTCGAAATATTGATAAATGATATGACGATAATTTGTTACAATTTCTGTCGAGATTCTTCAAAAGAGAAGCGCGTCGGCCAACAGTAAAGATGTTGTCAACAAATCCTGTGAGGCATGTAAGCTTCCACGTCGTGCATAACCACTGCCACGAATCCCCCTCTTCTTTTTCCCGTTCCAGCTTGCTGTGTGCCACCGACTCCCTCTTCGTATCAGCCTTGGTCCCAATACTCCCTAAAAAGGCTTTCTGCGTATGCCCATTGGCGGGATTGATCCACCGACCTTTGCATTACAAGTGCAACGCTCTACCACTGAGCTAAACGGGCTGGTTGACACAGAAGGAATACGTAGCTCTATTGACAACAATCTATCGCTTCATCTCCCTTCTTTCCATCCAGTAAATTAATGACATTAGAGTAAAATGTTTCACTCTATAATATGTCATCGTCGCAATTCCATCGAGATATTCTTTTTTTCGATAAACAAAAGCCTGTCAAACAACAATTCTCACAATCAGGCCTTCTAGCTTCCCTTCTCTTCTTTCAGGCTGCTTTTTTAAGATAAGTATAAGTGAGCGATACTACGATGAGTACTTGAGAAATTGAGAGAAATATACTCGGAGAGCCTTAAAAAAGCTGCTGGTTTCGCGGTACCTCTGGTGCTGGTCAATCAGTAGGCAAGTTGCTGTTTGTCTCAAGCAGTTCAACTGTCTGGCTTCGCGATCGTCCCAAGTAGGGAGATTAGCGTAGCTTCCTTGTATATTCAACGCCGTTCATACGTCGAGGTTTCATTGGGACCCATTAATTTCGCGGTGCTGTCGTGCTGATCTATTAGTAGGCTAGTTGCTGTTTGACTCAAGCAGTTCAACTGGTCTGGCTGTGAGGTCTTTTGCCTCAAAGGACTGAATCAGTTGGCGTATGCTATCTCCACAATATCCTGCCCATTCCTCCTATTTCCTTCGAATTATGTCTCTTTCACTAATACTACTTCACATTATATCGCTAGATCCATGCTACTGACGATGACGCTAGGACGGACGCGTTTTTGTTTGTCAACAGTTGGACACTTCTAAATATGTAAAACAGTTCTTATTTCTCAAACACTTTACACTTCCGAATATTTATCATTCGCGTCAGATAAATGTGGTGCTCGATCATTCTTGGTTAGAGTCATCAGTCGCTTGTCGAGTCGGTGGGATTCATGTTATAACTTCAATCTGATTTTCGTCAATAAATGCAGAATGATATTCTTAACGGCCCTTACCCGATTCCCTCGCTGTTTGTGAAATCCATTTGAATCAGAACCATCCAATGATAGTCCCATCAATGCAAATCGCGGACACGTTGCAATCAGATAATTTTCATCCAAACATCTTTAAATTTTATCTAATATAAATCTGACATAACTCGTTTATTAGAATCCCTTCATCTCTTTCACAACAGCTTCCTCTCTGTCAGCAGACATCCGACCATACCCCAACAGCTTCATCGAGAACAATCCCGTTCCAGCCGTCATTCCGCGCAACGTTGTCGAATATCCAAGCATAGATCCCAACGGCACCGTAGCAGAAATCAAATGACTTTCGTAAGACCCACCCGCTGATGAATCCCCATTTTCCGTTCCAAGGGAAACGACGTTTCCTCGCCTTGTTCCAGTCAAATCTTTCGTGACGTTTCCCACATACTTTTCCGGCACCGTCACAGATAAATCCATAATCGGCTCTAACAAACGGCTTGGCGCGTTTTTGATGGGTCCACCACCAATGGGGACACCTCTCATCAGGTCCCTCATACATCGACCCGTTGCAGCTCGAACAGCAGCTAACGACGTCAACTCTGGTTTGAACAGCTTCACTTCCAACACAGTAACCTTCACATTCACAACAGGGAACCCTAAAATTGGACCACGCGAGAGAGCACCGTTGATTCCATCCTTCACAGCATCCTTAATCTCTTTGATAGAAGGATAACCAGACGGTGCAGTTGGAATCAACTTTCCGTTCTTGGCAGGTACCATCAACAATGGAACTGGGAAAATGTCCTTGACTTCCAGCTGTGATTCCAAATCAACAACATTAACAGGCCCCTCCGTAACATCAATCCAATCCTCATTGATTTCCATCCCTTCCACAAGAACCCGCACACTCACTTTACTATGCTTCCCAAAAATCTCCTTATCGTAATCAAACACGTATTCCAAAGGCCCAACGTCGGCTGGAACAGTTTCTCTATAACTAATACTGACTTTTCCCATTTGCGCAGCGCACTTGTGCGTGTCCAGAAGCCGTTCAGATGCAATTTCAAGGTGTAGTTCTCCCATACCTCCAAGAAGAGTTTGTCCACTGTCTGGATCTGTTGTTACGACGAGGGATGGGTCTTCTCGGACCAAAGCCGTTAAAGCCGATTCAAGTTTTCGGCTGTCTGCTGATGACACTGGTTCAACGCTTCGCACAAATACTGGTGGAGGCAGATGAATTGTTTCTAATGTGAGTGCAGTTGCTGGAGGCTTGATGAGAGCCGGTGAAGCATTTGCAGCGACTTTTTTGGGTGCTGATGTGAGACCATGTTGTGATGCAATCAGAAGCGTATCGCCAGTTTTGGTTTCTGTGAGACCAACAAGACAGGCAATATTTCCAGAGGTCACACGAGGAATTTCTTCATAGTCGTCAGCATACATTTGGAGAATTTTAGTCGCTCGTTCGGAAATGTGTTGGGTTGAGTTGAAAAGGACTGTGCGTGGCTCAAGAGACCCAGAATAGACTCGAACAAAGACCATGGCACCGCGCTTTTCGTCGTGGATGATTTTGAAGGCGAGACCGCAAAAGTTTTTGTCTGTAGAGTTTACGGACGTTGTTTCTCCATTTGGTAGGGTTGCGACGGGTGCAGGGCGTTCAGCAGGACTTGGCAGGTATTGTACCACCGCGTCAAGTACAGGCTGAACTCCTGTATTCTTGAAAGCAGACCCACACAGAACTGGAACAATTTTCCCGTCTCCAGTCAATCGGCGCAAGGCAGGTTTCAGTACTTCAGGCTTTACGGCCAAATGCGATCCATCCGCTTCCTCCAAGAAAGCTTCCACAACTTGATCATCCAAAGCCGCAAGTTTCTCAACCATACCAACACGCGCTTCTTCAATCTTTGTCCACAGCGAAACAACGCGTTCCTCCTCGATTCCTTCCAAAAGTCCACCACTCCCACCACACACTTGCCTAAACTGATCCAACGAATGAACCTTCAACCTCTTGACCACACTCCCAGTTTCATTCGCCGTAAAATCAAGCACTTCCATATCCACCAAATCCATGACCCCTCGAAACTTGATTCCAGTAGCAGTTTCCGCAAATACAGGCCACTGGATGACAACAGGAGTTCCCCACCCTTTCAACCGGTTCTCCACAGCCGCAAGAGCTCTCGGGAAACTCGCACCTTCACGGTCCATCTTGTTCACCATAATCAGACGAGGTATCTTTTGCCGATTCGCTTGTCGCCACACTGTCTCTGTTTGAGCTTCCACACCTGCAACTCCATCGAGAAGAACGACAGCGCTGTCGAGGATACGAACCGATCGTTCCACTACAAGTTGTCATGAGTCAAACTTAACAAAAGGGTAAAAGAGCAAACGAAGCAAGTACCTTCCATAGTGAAATCCACGTGGCCAGGAGTATCAATAAGGTTGATTCTGTGGTTCTTCCAGAAGAGAGGGATGCAGGCAGAAGTGATTGTGATGCCTCGTGAACGTTCTGCAGGAAGGTAATCTGTGACTGTTGAGCCTTCGTCGACGTTTCCGATTCGCTGAGTGTATCCAGCATAGTACAGCATTCGTTCAGTGATTGTTGTCTTTCCTGGGTTTGGGTTAGGATACTTGGTTTACTTGACAGTTAGAGTGATGGCAGACCTGCATCGATGTGGGCAATGATTCCAATGTTTCTGATTCGATCTGTTGGAATTTCGGCGCTTTGCCTCGTTCTTAATGTTGAGGAGAACCATCGGATCTGGATAATAGATCGGATTGGTTTCACCCAAACCATCTTGACACTTTGAGACAAAACAAAAACAAATAATACAAGAGACTTCTATGTCCTTCTCTTTCTCTTTCTTTCTCACTAAAATAAAGTAATTAGTAACTCGTTGTTTTTGATTTCAAATTCGCCATTAAATCTGTGAGAAAAGATGCTCTCAGCAGCCGCAAGAAGTATTCGAAAAATGGCAACTACAACCGCAATCCCTGAGTGAGTTCCCCTTTGATCGCTGTATCCAAGCTAACTCCAATTCTTTTTACCAGCGCAAAGCTCTACAAATGGGCATCACCAGACGGCGAGTTCAGAAGACAAGTCTCATCCTTCCGCGACACAGTTTCAAAGACGGGCCGCTTCCAGCCAGAAGCAGGACGTTACCACTTGTACATTTCACATGCATGGTTCGTTGCTGATTAGTATTGCGATCAATCCAATCCGCTAATTGATAGCTTATACCTTCAGTCCTTGGGCCCACAGAACACACCTCGTTCGCAACTTGAAGGGTCTTGAGCATGTTATTGGTCTCTCCGTTGTCGATTACTTGATGACCCCTGAGGGATGGCACTTTTCAACTCCTGAAGAAACTCCAGGCTGTATCCCAGACGATGTAAAGTGAGTTCGATGAGTTATTTACGTAAGCGAAGCTGACAAACAACAATATTTGAAAAGCAATGCCAAGTACATCAAGGAAATCTACTTCAAGGCGAATGCAGAATACTCGGGCCGTTTCACTGTCCCAGTTTTGTGGGACAAGAAGGAACAGACAATCGTTAACAACGAAAGCTCTGAGATTATTCGTATGCTCAACTCCGAGTTTAACGACTTGTAAGTACTCTCATTTCTTTGAATCGAGAACGACAAACTAATTTTCGCGATAATTACAGCGCTACAAACCCATCCCTCGACCTGTACCCAACTGCTCACGCCGCTGAAATCGACTCCATCAACAGCTGGATCTACGACCAAATCAACAACGGTGTATACAAGTCCGGCTTCGCAACAACCCAAGAAGCCTACCAAAAGAACGTTGAAATTCTGTTTGAAGGCCTTGACCGCGTGGAATTGAGACTCAAAGAGTCTGATGCCAAGTGGCTTGTTGGAGAACAGTTGACTGAAGCCGACATCCGTTTGTTCACCACGATTGTGCGATTTGACCCAGTGTACCATGGTCACTTTAAGTGTAACAAGAAGACGATTTCTCATGATTATCCTTACTTGCTCAAGTGGTTGAGACGTGTTTACCAGATTTCCAAGGTTTGTGCTTTAATATTTACTGTGTTTACTGACAATGGCTGTAGGTGAAGGAGACCA